TTTGTGTATGGATTGCCTATTTAAAGGGATGATTGTAATTGTTTGATTATTGTTGTTGTGGAATTGACAAATGGAGCGGGTTGGTAATTGTTGTGGAGGTGTTATTGTGAAGTGAAGTTTTGTCGGAAATTATCGTTGTTGCTAATTGTATTTCGTTTGGAACGCCGTTATCAGTTGGTCGATCAAGTTGATTCGACTATATTGATCGACCTCAATTCAAATAGTATATTTTTGGGGTCGATATTCGGTCCTCAGTCTTGGAGCAATTGATTAAAGTCGGGAAGGAAGTAAAATCGGTTGGTTGTCTACGAGTGACACACCGGTTGCATATTGTTGAGCGATACTGATTCGGTTCCTATCGTCATAGGGTCAGTATACTGTCGTCAACCATGGAGCAGTTGATAGCAGTCAGTGAAGAAGACAATTGGCTACGAAAGGAAGGTGATACTTGTTTTTTTCGTTTCTTTCGTTGTTATACTTCCAGATTCCATCCTTGGGAAGATCCATTCACCCCCGAGTCACACTAGACCAGGAGCAGCTATTATTATTATTGTCATTATTTATCATCACTTTCATCGTGGCTACCTTTATTATTGTCATCGATGTTGTTATAATCTTTACTGCTATTGATCTCAATATTTTGTTCACTACTGTTATTAATTTTATTGTTTCTACTGTTACTATTACCATTTTTGCTGTTTTTTCGATTATTTTACTGCCACTTTTCTCGTTATTATAGGTGTTATTAGCTATCATACGGTGTTACTTTTATGAAAATCGTTATCATCAGCATTATATCCAATTTCATGTATTCTGANATACATCTGAACATAGTTCCTTGACGGAGACTGCTGAAGCAAACTGTCCATCACCAGTCATAAAGATAAAACAGACGTGTTGTTTGCTCTTGATAACTGCATTGGTCAAAACTTGATTTTAATTGAAACCATCAAAATCACGAACTTCGATATGTAGAGGTGTTCTAATGACAGCGACGAGATGAATATTCCCAACATGTTCTGAACGGTTATGTCTAACAACAAGACACGCCCATAAGGCAGTACATTAGACAAATTGTCCGTTAGGCAAACTGTCCGTTAGACAAACTGTCCGTTAGACGAACTGTCCGTTAGACAATATGTCTTTAGTCAAACTGTCGTTAAACGAAGTGTCTTTAGGTCGACTGACCGGGTACCAATGCGTAAAATCTATGGATAATCTATACTTACTGATAGTAGTGATAGCATCTCAGTTCGATCGGAGTCCAACCGAATCGACTTTTAAGAATCCGACCGAATAGAGATGTTGTTTTTGACTTTTCAACATTTCGAAATTCGGTTTCCGGCCAAATTTCAAAATTGTTCAATCGCAATCCGATTCACGGATTCCCACCGAAATTCACAGGTACTATCAATCAATTATCCATCAGTAGTGAGGAGCACATATCAGCTGGACAAACTTGCTCATTGAGAAGGAACAATATGATTAGGTGCATTTTCATGATGGCTGCCTCTTCGATCTGGCTCAGCTTCTTTATAGAATCAAACGATTTTCTGATAACTTTAGATGTAGAAGATGTTGGGGTATTAGCGGAGGATATATTTTGCTGATGGAAATGTTTTTGCAGAGGTTGTGATGTTTATCTGATGGTTTATCACATAGTGGAAAGATTTCATTATGTCACCTTTCTCCACGCATTTGATTTAATCATGTTAAGAAAAACAATCATTCAAAATTCAAGACATTTTTTCTTGATTCCAACCGACTTCAATTTTGATTTTGGCTAACTTCGCATGATAATATTTACGACAAAATTGCAAATAACAGTTCTAATTTGAACCTTTCATATGCATTCTAGGTCAGCCGTCGTAGAAGTTCATCAGTTAGAGGATTTTCGAAGTACACAAATATACTAATGAACTATTGCAGGAAAAACGGCGATTTGAAGATTTTGCGGACACAATTTTCAACAAAAGCTTGACCACCGGATTGTTGTTTAGTAATTAATCCGGCATCAAAAAGTGTGGAAGAAAGCAGCTATTTTTCGCGTCCGACACATCAAATTATATATATATATATATATATA